AATGAACAAGACTATAAACAAGGAACAAAATATTCTCACCACAGCTACTTTCTAAAATACAAGTAACCCCAACAATCTGGCTTATGAAAAAAGGGCACCCCTCAAAATGAGAGGGCATTTGGTGTATATTGCATTTGGGAATGATATGCTGGCATCTTTTGTAATTAGGCTAAACCTTAGGGAAGTTTTTATAATTCCCCCAACATCTTCCCAAACTGAAAACACAAATGAGCTAAAAAAATAAACAAATAAAATGATCCACTTTCTATATTTGCTTAAAGGCATCCATGTTTGCAGAACCCAGCTCCTGAGAGATTGATGCCAATGCAAAATTACTAAAATCTCCCTGATCATGCACCGGCTGACCGAGGCCTCCTTCCCATGGACTCGTTGTCTTTTCTCCAGTTTGAATTTCACAAAACTTAAACTGGAAAACTGCTTCAAACTTCTTCTCACCTTGCCAGGAAAATGTGCCCACATTTTCAATCTCATCATTGTTCATCTTGATATTCGCTTTCGACCTGTTCATTGGGATCCCCTTAACTTCACTCATCAAGCTGTAATCACTCATTCTTGAACAACCATCTGAATAATCAGCTAGGCTTTGAAAGTCGAAATTCATCAAATTCGGCATTGAGTTGTTGAAGTCCCTGTTATTATTATTATTATTATCAAAAGGCCCTATCCCATTTTGCTGGTAACGAGACACAAAATCCGGATTGTATTGAAAACCGGACGAGAATAGTTCATCTCTTGAGGATAGAATTTCCCCTGTTTGGACCACTTGAGTTGAACTTGTGAAGCTTGGAAGCACTTTTGGCTGCAAAATATGATCATTAGGTGAAGATGAGTCCATATTACGATAAAGCTTTTCGCTTTTCACTTGAAGAATTTGAGTTATCGGCTTGTGAGTGTTTGGATCAATGCCTAGCTTTGTTAGTTTCTTCTTGAGGGCCGAGTTCCAAAAGTTCTTGATCTCGTTATCAGTTCTCCCGGGCAGCTGTGTTGCAATTTGAGCCCACCTGCCATTTTTTTTTTCTTATCAATTCAAATCATATCAAGAAAACTTCTAACTCAAGAAAAAGAAAAAAAAAAAGGTGATTATCAGAGCTTATAAGTTAAAACTTATAAGCACCTATTGCCAAGAGTTTCATGTAAAGCAATGATCAAATCCTCCTCATCTTGTGAAAACATTCCTCTCTTCAAATCAGGCCTTAAGTAATTAATCCATCTTAACCTGCAACTTTTCCCACATCTTTGCAGGCCTGCTCCAAAACAAAAAATCAATAAAATCCATTCCAGCATTTTTTTTTTCTTCTTAAATTTATATTTTAATCAATCTTCTAACATAACAATAAAAACAGAATTCTATAAATGGAAAAAGAAAAAGATGACTTAAAAACCTGCCAATTTAGGCACAGAGCTCCAGCAACCGACACCATAGTTCGTAACGTAGTCAGCGAGTTTTTCATCTTCTTCGGGTGACCATAAACCTTTCCTCAGTTTTTGCTTTGCATCACACGACGAATTGCGCCCCATTTTTCGAGTCATGTTTTATCTGAAGAACAAATGAGAAAAATGGCTGCTAGCTTTGATTTAGCTTCAACTCTGTGACATATTAAAATGAGAGATGATCACATTGGATTAAAATTTAAATAGTATGATCAATGACAAAAACAATGTGATTAAAATTTCTTTAATAATATCATGTCATTTAGAGGGGGGGTGGGGGTGGGGGGGTGAAGTAATCAAGTGGTTTTGAAGCAATTCTTTTGGTTCTGTTTTTTTGGCAAATTGGAGTTGATTGGGTTTTAAGATATCTCCATCCCAAAAAAAATGAAATTAATTAAAATTAAATAAAGTATGAAAATAAGAAAGCAGAAGAATGTGAATTAACAAGAAACTGTCTGCATAATTACACACAATTAAGCATGACATTTGACAATACATAATAGTTTAATTATTAGGAAAAAAATGTAGATATGAATGAGAGTGTAACTCAAATAATTGATGTTCAATTATGGCAAGTTATACAGTCTAATCAGAAGTTGATTGGTTTTGATATATAATTAAGCAGCTTTTGGTACTCTGCTTTATTTATTATGTGGTTAATGTGTATTGGCCCAATTCCTATTACTTCACTTGTTGTCCATATATATTATTCAACCCTCTTCTATTATTTGATTTGTTCCTCACAATACAAAAAGACTTTGGAAGGTGTAAAAGGAGGAGACAAGTTCACACACATATATAAATGCTTCATTTAGATTAAATTTTCATATGCTACTCTTCATGCCTTAAAAATATTTACATGAAAAATGTAAATATTTTTAAGATATAACATTTTGTATCTATTTTAAACAATCATTGATCTAAATTGTCTCAGAGCAGCTACAGTGACTGATGAATAGATTTACAGTTTTTCATATAAAATGTATATTTCTAACAATGGGTGACTGCATGCATCACCAAAATAACTCAATAACTGTTTTTTTTTTTTTTAAATTAAAAAAAAAAAAGAAATAAATTTTCTATGATGATCTTAATATGTATTTGGAAAACTATGAACTCACTGACATCAAAATAGACCGAGAGAAAAGACTTAAAAGCACTGGGGCCATGAGAAAAAGGGGACAATGTGAAATGCATGCCATTCTAGACAAAATTTCCATTCACAGATTTAGAGAGTAAATATAAATAAATACACTTAACACAACAAAAACCAAGATCCAATTAATACCTCATTTTATAATTAATTAATTACTTTATTCTGATCAAACAGGATTTGACCAACCAAATATTTAATAGTAAATGATTTTTAATGTTTCAGAGATGATAATAATAATGAATGAGCAGAGCTCATTAGGAGTCTGGATTTTAATGTGTGTAATATATTCACATTAATTATTGGAAACCAGAAATTTAAGAAAGAAGCAATTAGCCAAATCTAAAATTTAGAAAGAAAAAAAAAAAAATGACATAATTAATATCTCGTATATTGTTTTAACTCATATAGACTTACAATTAGACTGGTTATTTGGCCATACTTGTGAATAAAAATTAATACTTATATGCTAAATTGTCATGTATATGTCAAAGTCATTTTTGTAGGAAACCACGAAGAATCGAAAATCTCCTTTAATTAATTTCAAGATAACAAAGTTTTTCTTTATGCAGAGAGAGAATGAAACACAAGGGGCCAATCACTTATCACTAATATATCACACAATTTGCGTTAGTTGAAGCAACTTTGGACCCAAATTCACTACTCGCTGATAATAATAATTACATTTATTATGTTTAACTCTGCCCAAAGTTAACGGTATCAATTGCTTTGGACCACTTTTTTTTTTTTTTGGTACAATGAAGGTAGGCCACAAGCCTAAGCTAAAGTCTGTCGGGGATAAGCCACCCCTATGTTGTCATGCTGTAACCACTCTCCGATTCCTGTAGGCATGGACACAACTCGATGTAGACCAGATGGATATGATACCGCCAAGCTCGCCATGTGGTCAGCAGCGAAATTTGCTTCTCTATGAACGTGTTGGACTTTAACCTCCCAAGTCCGTGAGAGCAAGGCACGAATGGCTTTAACCATTGATTCATGAATGCCAAAACAACCATCGGGCTGAGATACCATCTTGAGCACGCATTGGCTATCAATTTCTGCAACCACTTTGCGATATCCTAACTCCCACGCCAAAAGAAGTCCCTGAAAAAGACCCCATAGCTCGGCTCCTGTAATGGTGCAAAACCCAATATTGAAAATAAATCCCCCGAGCCATCTCCCCACTTCATCTCAGGCCAGACCACCCGCGCTACTCCTCCCCGTTTGCTTATTAAAAGCACCATCAGTGTTTACTTTTATCCACCCCGAGTCCGGATGAGATCACCTAATCATGCGTGTGACATAAGAAGAGACCCCAACTTTTTTAAAGTCCTCCACCGCTCGCACATAATTTTCCACAATGTGTAGAATCTCACGATGACGGGCCACACTACTACACGATTTCTGCTGAAATACCCGTTCATTTCGCCCCATCCACAACCTCCAAACCGTGACTGCAAACAAGCAGCTCCAGCCCACAACATGCCCCATTCGACTACATAGCAGATTCGACCGTAGCCACTCTGTATATGATTGCCCTAAAAACTCAGGCATTGCTGTTTGCGGTACTAATAATTTCCACACTCCACAGGCAGCCGGACAGTCCCTCAGTATATGGAGCAGCGTCCTTCGGCCCGCGCAAAAGTCACAAGTCTCGGAACTAGCTATGTGGCGTCGCGCTCGTTCGACGTTGGTGAGAAGTCGGTCATTAAGCGCTAGCCACAAAAAGGTTCGGGCTTTCTGCGGCGCCGGAACAGACCATATGAGGCGCCACATTGACCGGGCAGGATCACATGCTGCCGACGAAAGAGCACGGTAGGCTGTCTTAGTAGAAAATCGACCATCATCAGAGTGAGCCCAAGCAATCCGATCATCCTCGGCCATGGCCTGTGGCGGGAGGGTCCCCGCAATCCGGAGAATTACCGTCGATGGAAGCAGCCCATGAAAGCCGGCCCACATCCAATTCCCAGTCTCGTCAACGTGATCAGCAACCTTCGAGTGTATACTGCCAATCTGATCTTGATTACGAACATACCGAACCAGAGGTCCTTCAGCCCCAAGCCATGGGTCTAGCCAAAACCTCGTTGTCATGCCGTTACCCAGCACCCAACGGATACCACTAACCACATGGGGCCAGACCGTCCGAATAGCACGTAAAAGAGTCGAACCTTGCCTCCAGGTAATTGAGTTCAGGTCCCCTGAGAAGTTCAGCGCGTATTTAGATTTAAGGACACGCACCCAGAGGGCCTCCGGTTGCGTTAACAGCCCCCATCCCAGTTTCATTAGAAGTGCTCGATTCATCCGACGAAGATCCTTGACACCCAGACCCCCGTCAGGCTTAGGTTTACACACATTCTCCCAGGCCACTAAATGGACCTTCCTCTGGTCACTGGTTCCTCCCCATACGAATGCACGACTTCTTCGTTCGAGCCCGTCGGTCACAGCACACGGTAGTAATGTCGTCTGCATAGTGTAATACGGCAGCGTACTTAACACTGATTGGGTGAGGGTCACCCGACCAGCCAGCGATAAAGACTTCATGCGCCACCCCGCAAGACGCGACTCTGTCCTCTCCAGGATGTGGCTATACGTCTCTTTAGAGACACGACCATGAATAAGGGGCACGCCTAGGTATTTCCCCAGATTATCCGTCAATTTAAAGTTCAAGACTGAAGCCAGCCGCAGTTGCTCAAGTGAATCAACGTTCTTAGAGAAGAAAACTTGTGTTTTTGCCTCACTCACTTTTAGGCCCGACCTGGAGCAGAAACTGTCCAACACCTGCTTCAGAACCATAGCTTGCCCATCCGAGGCTTCCACAAAGAGGAGTAAATCATCGGCGAACATCAAGAAGGGTACTTGAATGGTGCCACGCCCAACCGAAATCGGGCGCCATTCTTGGAAGGGCAACTGACTCACAAATTCTCTGCGCCAATCTCTCCATACAAAGCACAAAAAGATAAGGGGACATGGGGTCCCCCTTTCGAATTCCTCGCGTGGGCTGAAAATCCTCTCCCATCGTCCCATTCCACAGTACATTCATCGAGGCCGAGCGCACACATGCCATGACTGCCCTAACAAATCTCGCCGGGTACCCTATTAGACTGAGAGTATCTTCAATGAATTCCCATCGTAGATAGTCATAAGCTTTCTCCAGGTCCCCCTTAATCACCATGTATCCCTTTGGCCCGCGGTGGTTACGCATAGAGTGAATGAGTTCCTGTGCAACAATGATGTTATCTGTAATCTGTCGGCCCGGGACAAAACTGGCTTGGGCTGGATGAATTAGCCCCGAGAGGGTATTCTTCATGCGATTCACCAACACTTTGGTGAAAACCTTGTATATGACATTAAGGAGACTAATAGGCCGGAACTGCTTAATTGTGGTCGGATGCTCTACTTTCGATAGTAACACGAGAAGGGTGCGATTAACCTGAGCTGGGACAACACCAGCAAGCCACATGTGTCTAACGAAACGACATGTCGCCGGCCCTACTATATTCCAATTTTTTTGGAAAAAGAGAGCATGTAAGCCATCCACTCCTGGTGCTTTCAACGGCCCCATACTACTTAGGGCTGCGAACACTTCATCATCTGCAATGACTTCAGCCATAGTAGTGAAGGTAGACTCGTCACAAGCCGAAAACAAATTTGGCCAGGATTCGTCGTGCACGGGGGTTTGTTCGGCCGTATAAACTGCCTTGAAGAAATCCGTGGCTAAAGTGCGGAGAGCTGTCTGGTCTGTGATCTGCTGCCCCTCGGTGTCCGTCAATTCAATTATCTTGTTGCGGCGCCGCCTATATTTAATCTGACGATGATAGGAGGATGTGTTACGGTCTCCTAGATATGACCAGTCTCGATTGGCCTTTTGAATCAGGAGAAGTTCCTCCTGCCGAATAACTGCCTCAAGCTCAGCCCGCAGCTGTTTTTCGAG